TAATCCTTCATGATGGCCCTGCCACCTGGGCCTGAGTGAATTGGAAAGTACTACCCTCCTTCTGGGAAGCAATCATGGGCCTGCTGCAACCATTTTCCAGTTCAAAACATGCCTAAGAGCATTGAAGAGAGTTGGTGCTTCGCAGCAGTCATTGACAAGATGACGGCAGGTAGATACAGGTCAGCTGGTCTTGCTGCCTGTTTTTGGGGGCGTGTATCGTGGAAGTTCTGCCCAGGGCAAAAAGTTGTTTGATTTCGCCTATGCACCCCTTGCGAAGAGAGCGTCGGCGCGAGCCGGCATAGCCGGAAAATGAATGTAGATCTTCACAAAAGACGCAACTTGTGGGTGGCCGCCCCACCAGCAACATCTGGGCTTAACCTGAAGCATCCAGTGAATGGCCTGATGGCTGGCATTAAAAACGGAGACGCAAAAGAAAACTGTTAACCGTTTACCTTACGCTGGGCCAACTCAATCTGAGGCAGTCTAAGACTTGACCTTGGCTGCAGCAGTTTTTATCTCGCCATTTTGGCGTAGGCTCAGGGTGTTGAGGGTGCCATTAACTGGCCAAAACCGAGGCATTGCTCCAAGGGCAGGCGGCTCGCCACGCACCCATCTCCGACGGAGACGAAGCAACGTCCGAACGATTGCGTCAAGTTGCCCCTTTCAAGTTGCTCTTGTGATTGTGTATGTGGGCGTGCCTGCTTCTGCTACGTCTGTCGCTTGTGTTGTTGTGTTTTCTGTTTGCATTGTCTCTATTGCACGCGCTTGTGCTGTACAAGTGTCATTTCGTTCTTCATACCTTTGTGTGCGAATATCTCTGTGTGTGTGTGTGTTCCGGTTTGAGTCTGTATGTGTGTGTGTGACTGTGTGCGTCCATGCATGTGACTGTACATGTGTGACTGTGTGTGTGTGCGCGACTGTGCGTTCGTCTGTGTGTGTGACTCTGTGTGTCCGTGTGCGTGTGTCTGTCTTTCTTGGCCGCGCCAAATGACTCTGTCTGTGTCTGTGTGTGTGCACGAATCTGTGACTGTTTGGTTGTGTCATTGCATGTGTGACTGCATCTGACTCTGTGTACATGTTGGTGATGGTCTGTGTGACTCTGTGTGACTGCGGGTAGTTGTGTGTGTGTTTGCGTGACTGTGCGGGACCCCTCCAAAATGGCCGGTGGTTCACCGATGTAAACCTGTCTGCACAATTCAAGGGGCCATAGAGGCCGGCCAGGCATGATCCGGGAAAAAAAAAGTGGGCAGAGCCATGCCCAGGGTAAGCCCCTGCGATATGCAAGGGCTGTTGGATTTGCAGAGCGCCGAACATTGCTCGAAGGAGCTTTGCAACCACCATCAAACGTCAGTGGCCAGATAAGACCAATTCAAGCGTCAAATTTGGCCAGGAATCGTTCTATTCGGAGGCATGAATGTTGAAGCCTTGAGATAAGGAAGTCAATACCAACCACAAGTGTTGATCTCTTTCAGGGTTGGCAAAGCCTCATTCGCCCTGTCCGAAGTCAAACGTACGCGGCAAGCTTTGCAAGTTGCACGAGGGCCTGAACATCTGGGAGCCAAGTGGTGGCCTCACAGCTTGTGCCTCGAAACAAAACCCAGCGCACAGGTCATTTCTTAGTGTCAGGCCGTCATGCATCGCTGTGCAAGGCTGTTCTTTCAGCCTTGCGGCAAGGATTTTGGTACTCCGACCCCGCGATGCACGGGCCAGCAGCACAAGGCCTTTGCAATGGCTAGGTCATAGACGGCATAGATCCTTGAAGGCGCAGGGCGGGGCAATGCTGCTGGCGCCGCTCATTCAGATTTAGTTCACTTCGGGCGCGAACGCGATTCGCAGACATGCGCTTTTGACATATGGCATCACGCCTCTTCAGGCTGAGACCCATACGCGAAAAAGCTCAAAAAGCAACACCAGCCAGGGTGACCTGACAAGGCAGCTTCTCCGCACAAATGTTGCCAGCAAGTTGAGTTTCGCCAAATCAGCATTCACTCGTCTAACTCCAAACTTATCAGGCACGGAGTTCAATGGTCCTCCGGGATAATCCCAAGTTCACTATCCTTGCCCGCCTTTGCCGCGGGTTGTCGCTTGCCGAGACTCGCAGGTGCCATTGCATCCCTGCGCTGGCAACATCAGCAAACGGTTACTTCGGTTGAGTCCGAAGATGGGGCAAAAACGGATGCATCACGAGGCAATCAACACGCATTTTGGGCAAGGGCCAGGGAGAGATTGAAGCATAATGGTTTCTCGTGAATTTCCCTGCACAGTTTGCGTCATGCAACCCACGCTAACTTGAGCGACGCGAAGTGCCTGAAGCCAACGAAGGCTCAATTGCCTCTGTGGACACACCATCTGCAAGACTCGCCGATATCTTCTTGAGAGTTCTGCCGGGCAGAAACATTTTGCAAGGGGCAGCTCGGGCTCATCCGAACCCCTCCTTCCCAGGGATTTGCAACAAATCATTCAATGCGTGAATGATCAACCGGACTTTCCAAGGAAAAGCCATCTGTCCCCAGAAAGAAGGGTTCTTCGCTGTGACCCTGCAAAAGAGCAGGGCCTTCGGCTGCAGATATGATCCGCCCTCATTTCCAGCTGAAAACAAACTCTACCGGCGCTTTGTGGAAGGCAATGTCCACCTTTGATTAAAAACCCCTGCCCGAAACAATGCCTGAAACGACGAAGAATCCCACTGAAACAGCAATCCCAAAAATAGAAACTACAAAAAAATGAGTGGGAAAAAGATGAAGGCCTTGTTTTAACCCGAGAAGCTCAAGCAAAGCTTCTTGTGTTTGATCCCAATGCAATTTGTTAGCTGAACTTTGTCCAGCCCCTAGCCTACGACTACAATTTTGAAAGAAACTGCGAAACTCAAATCTATCTACATAACCAAATCAGTCACACAAAGGGGGAGGGAGTACTTGAAGGGAAAAACAACTTTAACCTAGAGCTTCGCCATCACCAGCTGCGCTGGTTGGCTGCAGGGGTTGCTCGCCCAACATCTCCCACTCAGCACCCACCAACCACTCATTCCCACCTGTGCGCGCTCGCGTGCCGCACGCTCATGCGACACCCCCAAAGCCAATCAAACGAATACTGCGTCCCCGGCATCCGCTCTCAGCCCCGCTAAAACCCGGGAAAAATGACAGAAAAACACGGTGCTTGCGATGTTTTTCGCATAGTGGCGCCGGCCCCGCTTTCGCCGCTCACTTGATCGCAAACGCGCCTGCTATGCCTGCCGCTAAAACGATGCGAGGGCTGCAAGGGATGCAAGCCTGGGTGCTGGTGGTCAGGAATGCTGGGGATGCTGGTGGCGTTGGCGGGCATGTAGAGGATGTTGGTGGGGATGCTGGTGACTGTCGGGAGCGATTTGCACGGTGGTTACCGTGTTGTTTGAAGGTTGGGGTAACGTGGCATTAGGAGCCCGTCGCAAGGCCAGGGATGTTGGGGATGTTTTTGGGTCCAAATGTCTGGGCTGGCCTGCGTGCCGGTGATGCAAGGGATGCTGAGGAGGAGCTTGGGGTGCAACAAAACACGTCAGCGGTATACCCTACGGGTAGGGTTGCCGCTCTTCCGGCTCGAAGACACACAGCGCTGCTGGATTTAGGAGGCCCCCGTAAACAATGATTTGTTGCGGCCCCCCCCTTCCCCCCCAAAGCCAATTTAAGCCACAAAAGCTCAAACAAAGCTGTTTGACAAATTCGGAAACAAGACGACGACCACCCCCAACTCAAGTTGATTGACGCAGCTTCATTGAAAACCTATCCCTGATAAATTTCAGGGGGAAGTACTTGAGCGAGAACAATCAACAATTGTCTACCAAAATAAGCCTTTGCTGCAACTCCATCCCCAAACTCAGATCCAGAAATCCAAAATGGCCCCGGCAATTCCAAACCAATAGTTTGGTGAGTGGTCATCTATTCCAGGGGGATTGATTGGCTATAAATCGAAGGTGGCAACCAGGGTCGCTACCCTGATAAAAGAGTGCTGGCTCAGGCAGAACTGCCTGCAAACAAGACGACCTGCCTGTGCTTTGCTCGAGGGCGTGAGAACTCCGTCTGCACTAAGGTTTGAGACAGCAATGCGAACCTACATAACCACTCCTTTGAGGTGGAATTCCACGCAAAGAATCAGCCAGCAAGCACGGCAGAGTCGAGTTGATTGGTATCGAGCCCGCTCGATAAAAGATGCCTGCTGCAAAGCTACTGGCTTTTGCTCGCTGGAGGTGCGATGCAGCCTTAACTCGCCACACAAACACGGATATCTCCGAACTTGGTACAACTGGCAAATCCAGCTCCAGGTCGTACATTTCCCCAAAACACTGCACCACTAGAAAGTTGGAAGGCCCTTCAAATGGCCAGCCCGTCAGTCACTGCCATGGATCCCTCCCTCTTTGGCAGAATGGGAGCTCTCAAGTTCACACCTCCAGCGTGCGCGCGGACCAGCAGCAGTGACAAACAGAAGTGGCAACGCGTGCCAAGGAACCAGACGTTCCGACCTCACTGGCCCAGAGTGTGGCACCAGCAGGACTGTAAGACTGGCTATGCCTGAGCAGGAGTCCGGCTATGCAAATGTCGCAGTCCGGCAATTGCAACGAGCGTGCCACCGTGACGTCCTGAAAGCCGACTGAGTGGCTGCATTCGACGCCTGCCTGCTGCCACAGCAAGCTTGTGGCTTGTCGGCTGCATTGGCTAGGGAATCTACAGCTATGCTTCTGAGCCTTCCTCTTTAGAAGGATTGAGGATCCAAAGCAGCTGGAAGATTGCCCATCGCACAATCCCTCCAGCGCACGGCTGCAAACTCAGAAAAAGAGGAGGGTTGGCTGACTACGCGCAGCCTTCCCTGAGTCGTATCTCACTCACAGGTCAAAGGTCAGTTTGCTCACAGGCTGCAGCACCTGCCCCAGGAGGGGAACTTGTCCCAAGCATTCAGCTAAAAGAGATCCGCCTAAGAACCAAAACCTACATCCGACCTGTGATGAGGGGGCGACCTAACATCTTTTTCAAGAGCGCCATGCTTTGATCCAAGGCGCCCTTGGCGGCTGCGTTTGGGCCTAGCGGCACGTGCGATTGGACTTGTATACCTTGAAGTCCCATTTTTGAAATACAAGCCAACGTCACTTGCGATTCAAAGCGCTCTGGGTCAAAAAGGCCAAATCTGGGCACAGGGCCATGACCCCAGCAAGCAAAAGCAAGGCTGTGGGAAGTGCAAGCACTTCTGCTATTCCGAAGCAAGGCCTTGACACGAATCCGTTCTGCATTTGAAAGGAAGGTTTCCTGATATCCCAAAAGTAGGGACGGACCCCTCATTCTCACAACCCTGAGAAAAACCGCTCAGAAGTTCTGAGCCCGCCAACATGTGGAAATCAGGTCGCGCCTGGTGTTCGCTTCTACACCTAGGAGGGTGCGGTGGGATGACTCCAAGGGCAGAAAAAGATAGTGTTATGTGTTTTTTTAAGCCAGCCAGAGATTGGACATATTGACGTATTGAAATATGTTGTGCAAAAAAACATCGATTTGGTTTTCCTCAAGCCTATCCAAAATATTCCTAGAATCATCCTCTGTAAAAAGCAACATCAAAGAATAATCCTCTGGGCCGCGCCCCCTTCTACCTCCACGGCCCTTCTGCACACGGCGCGCGGTTTTTTCCTTTCCCTGTTTCTTCCTCCGCATCACTTCTTATTCTGCGTGTTTCCATTGCCCATTGCCCTCTCTCCATGCCGCTTACCATTTTCTCTTTCCCTCGTTCAGCTATGAAAAAACTGCATAGAGCTTGCGCCTGGTTGGAACCATTTTGCGAAAGAAAGCTGGGACAGTGCCGCGCAAAAAAAAATGACAAAATGTATGCAAGAAACTGGAGAATGGAACAGCTTCTGTGGAGGGCGTGTTAGGCTGACAATGTCTGTTGGAGGCTTGATCGAAATCGCGCTCCAAGCTGGAGACAAGGGGAGGAAAATTTGGAGAATGATTTCAAGGAGGTTGATATTGGGTAGGGTGTTTTGTTGGATGTTTTTTTTGCGGATGGATTCCGGTCAGGATGATTGTTCAAAGATTGTTCGAAGGAAACACATGGTGTTTGCTACTTTTGCTCTTCCTGAGCACTGTGCGGGAGGCTTGGTCTAGAAAATGTGGGTTGGGGATGATTGTTCGAAGATTTGTCAAATATGAAGATGTCTCGATTTTCGAAAATCATCCTGACCGGAATCCATCTTCAAAAATTCATCCATCAAAACATCCTACCCGACATCAACCTTCCTAAAATCAGCCTCCAAATGTCCCTCCCCTATTCTCCACCTTGAAGCGCGATTTCGATCAAGCCTCCAACAAACACTGTCAGCCTAACGCGCCCTCCACGGAAGCTGCTCCATTTTCCAGTTTCTTGGATACATTGGCTATATGCGCGGCACTATCCCAGCTTTCTTGCGCAAAATGGTTCCAACTAAGCGCAAGCTCTATGGACTTTGTTTATAGCTGAAGAGGAGGGAAGGAGAAGAAGGAAGAAGGCAGATGACAGAGGGGAGAAGGGACAGGGGCGAGGAAGGGGAAAGAAATAGGGAAGGAAATTGGAAGAGTCAAAAGGGAGAAAGCGAAGGGAAGGGGAAAAGGCGAAAGAGAAGAGGGACATGGAGAATGGTAAGTGGTAAGAAGAGAAGGGAACGGGGGGGAAAGGAACATCGAAACCCAGAGAATGAGACGTGATGAGAAGGAAGCGACAGAGAAAGGAAAAGAGACAGCAGTGTGCAGAAGGGCCTTGGAGGTAAAAGGGGGCACGGCCCAGAGGACGATTCTAGAAAGATTTTTGGGTAGGTTTGAGGAAAGCCAAATTGATGTATAATTGAAAAATAAATAGTTCAAGACACCTCAGTGTGGCTGCAAAAATGTCGGGTTGCTGGACCCTGTTGGAGTTGTGCAGCTGTGGGAAGTGGGCCAGTAGGTATCCAAAACTATCAACACGACTCAAAGACACAGCTTGATGCATTGCAAAAACATTAGCTGCCCCATAGGTTGCCCTGCTTCAAATGCTTTATGCTTCGGCCACCGTCGTCTAGTTGTTTTCATTCCCAAGGAGGATTGATATAAACAGCACCACCGCAGCATTTTCACTCCAAGCGATGCGATGCGAATCTAGATAACCCACCTTTTCCTGTGGGATTTGTGTTGGTATCCACAGCATGAATTACCTCATGCTGTGGCCCAGTCAATTCGCCGATTTCCTCGGCATCTTGGGTTTACCCCCGATAAGCTCTGGATGCCCTGCATCAAGCAGAATGCATCTCCCACCAACGAGGCTGTAAACGCAAGCCTTCCAACCTGATACAGGATTACATTTCCAAGGAGGATTGATAAAAACAGCACCGCAGCATTTTCACTCCGAGCGATGCAATGCGAATCTAGATAACCCACCTTTTCCTGTGGGATTTGCGTTGGTCCACAGCATGAATTACCTCATGCTGTGGCCCAATCAATTCGCCGATTTCCTCGGCACCTCGGGTTTACCCCCGATAAGCTCTGGATGCCCTGCATCAAGCAGAATGCATCTCCCAAGCCACTCACTCTCTCAAAAACCCCAATGCACTCACAGGAACTCAGCAAAGGTAATCACCGCTCGGTACGGAAGCCTCAGTAGAGCTGGAGGGAAAAGACTGAAGGACAGCTTGAAGAGGTTGGCCTGGTACCATGGGTCACTGGGTCCCAACCGTCTGATCGCATCAGCCCAATTGGATTTGGATGGAGTGTACTCCCAGTAAAGGGAAGCTCGTAACGCAAAGACTGAATGTACGTCGCCATGTCGGGGTTGTCGCTCCTGCCCCGAATCAAACACATGAGACTGGCGATGTTGTCAATGAACCACACTCCGCGTCTCCCGCGGAATTGGTCGGGCCTCGCCGTGAGGGCGTGCACCACCATGAAATGCTCTAACTGGGCGATCTTGTGGTGGGTCCCCACATGTCGTAGACCTGTGAAGGGATGATGACAAAGGCCTCCCGGGCCTGCACATTGCCGTCCTGGAAGACCAGGTGGTATCCGCCGGACCCTTGTCGAGGGGCCTCCAAGACCGCGTCCGAGGCAGCCACCACCCTCGGCACGTCCATGGGCAAGACCATCAACTCCCTCCTTGGTCGCATACTGATCATGGCCTCCAACACATCCAAGCCGACAGGAGGCTGGCACTGGCTCGGCTGGAGCCCCCGTACTGGTGATCCTTCAATGCCTGGATCTCGGACAAACCGATGCGCCCAAAGAGGCCATGCTCCAGGAAGTTGACCATAGAGCTTCGCGGCTTGGCCCGGGGTGAACTTCCCGCTCTTCTTGGCGTCGCGCATGAAGGTGAGCACCTTCTGTTCGAGTCGCTCTCGAACCCAAAAGCGCGCACGTCCATGCGTGTGGATCTCCGAAAGGCCGAAGTCGAGTCCCAAGAAGGTACCAACTTCTGCGGCCCCCTGGCGCTTTTCCTCGGCGAACGGGGCGCCCAGCAGGTCATCAAAATACATAGACACCATGATTGCCAGAAAGCGCCTACCCATACCTTCCGCCATCCGAGAGTAGCGGTTGAAGGAAGTGACCGCCAACGGAAGCAAGAGGGTGTGGTACACCTGAAAAGCGGGCCGCCATTCCTGGTGGTACCACACCACCACACAGGCCAAAGCCTCCTGGCGCGACATGGGACAGTGGCGGTAGCCCCGGCTCCCGTACATTGCCCCTGCTGCGCGAACCGCTCCCAGGTGCACTCCTGAAGGCAGGCTGCGGCGGCTTGAACGTGGAGAGCAGGGCGGAGCGGTGTGCACAAAACTAGTTTGTTGGCATCTCTTGACGATGCGGATTGCCCGCCCCGCGCTGTCGTCAATCAGACGCTGTTTGCCGGAGGCCTGTGTGATGACACAGCGAGGTATGAGCCGGTAGGGGTCCCCTTTGGCATACCGTTTGAGCTGGCACAGGTTCATCGGGGGGGTGCAGAACCCCTCCTTGTGATCCTTAGTGGACTGCTCAAGGACAAAGGCGTCGGTGGACCCCGGCTGCACGCCCGCGATGGTGACGGCGTTGCGCTCCTCCCAACCAGCCAGCACGTCCGAATGGGCGATCGCCTCGACGGGCTGGTGAGGAAAGACTCCGTAATGAGGGGCATAGCCCACTGCGGGGAGACCCTTGATGAAACTGTGAGGGAGGGCGAAGTCGCCCCACTGCATAAGGACGACGAAGAGTCCCAGCAAAACCAAAATCACGCTTCGAGGTAACTCTGGCTAGAGGCGTCATCGCCCAGCTGCGCATAGCTCTGGGATCTATATCCAGCCAGCGCTGTCTGCTGCCACACGCCTCCAGCGGCGGCATCTGTGGCACGTGGAGTCGGGCGTGCCCTTCTCTGGCCGCCCACCAGCTCACCGAGACCGCAATTGCGAAGGTCAGGGTGGCCGAGTATTCTGCTTCTTCCTTAGACGGGAACTGGTGCCTCCCCTGGGTGTCCTCCCAAGGGTCCCACTCCCATGCTGCATGCTGATGATGGCATTCGCGAGGGTGAATCAGCTCAATCTCCTGGATGTTGTGCGCAGCCGCTGGTGCTTGCAACGCGCCGACATGAAGACGCAGGCCGAATAGGTCGTGTCATACCAGAGGCCGGACTCCACCTCCTGGGGGAGGGACCAATGGAGGCTGCGAGCCGGGTTCTCCCGCAAGGCGCCCAGCTACACCAATCTGCACAGGCTTCCAACTGCAGGTCTGGATTGCAAAACAGATCTGGCCACTGCAAGATGTTGCAAATCTGCTGGCCCTGGATTTCGTGGAGCAGTCCAAGGCTACTGCTGTGAAGGCTGCTGACCGCATTGGTGCTTCCAGCGCTTGCTGCCTCAACGGGTTGGATAGATCGTGCCCCGGGTCCAGAGACCAGTCGATGGGCAACACCCTCCAGCCACAAAACAGAAAAGCCTTTGCCAGGGGCATGTTGGGACCGCACATCAGGTCGATCATCAGGGGCCCGTCTTGCTGGCCAGTGTGGGGGTGCGAGAGTTCTGACGGGGGAGTCCCCCTCCCCCCCAGGGCACCCTCAAGACTTCTTGGCCGCCCGACACTCCTTGGCTCCGTCCCGCAGACCCTGTCGCCCCTGAGGATTGCGGCGCACCTGTGCTGACCGTTGGGGCATGACTGCCCAGCCTTGCATTGCCCGTGCTGGAAAGCTTGGCATAGCACTGCGCCGTCTCTCATGGCTCGTGCGACCGCTCTCCCCGCGATAGGCTTCGCCAATGAAGGCTTGCCTCCCCGTGCCGTGGGCTTGGCAGGTGTCCCCTGCTGGCGCTCTTTGGCAGGCGCCGAAAAATTCCTGGCCGGGACCAGTGGGCGTCGCGTGCCTCATATGTGGCCTTGATGACCTGGCCCAGCCCAAGTGACCCGTCACATCTAACACAAGGGGCATCATTGCAGGGTGCAAATTGAAGGTGGGGTATCTCCCCACTGTCTGCCACAGGCAAGGGCGGTTGCGCGAAAGGGGCATGCAACACTTCCACAGCCGAAAGCCAGAGCAGCCGGGCCTGGCCGCGATGCCCCTGCTGCAGCAAATAGTCCACATGGCGCTTGAAGTCGAGGTAGGCGCCTGTGGATAAGATAGGACGATCCGTGTGAACGGCCAAGTTAACTCCTGGAACTGCCAACATTCGACAAGTAACCCTTGCCGAACACGCAAAACCCAGAAGTAAAAAATAGCCAGTTTGGATCATCCTTGAGCCAAAAGGCCCAGCATGATCCAATACACTCCTTGCAGAATGAAGCCTGTAAACCCAAGCCTTCCAACCTGATACAGGATTAGGTTGTGTTGGAAGGCATCCAGGCGATATCTCTGGCTTGCAATCTTGGTTGGTGGCTGGTAACCCGGCTCTTGCCTTTGCGCGCTTGTTCAAGGTGGCCGCGAGAAAGGCCAGCAAAGTTGTGGTTTCCGATGGCTGTGGGTTTTCTGGCATTCTGTACCAATGCAGCCAGCACATCTGCAGAAATCCACCGTAAAATGGAAAAACATGAACAAGTACCACGGTAGCTATGTTGGCACAGCCGAAGCGCACAGCGTGCCCAACACGAGTCCAAGCGTGTGAATGTGAAATATGCGAGCATTCAAGAGGAGCGCAACAGATTGCTTTCATTCATCTTGCTCGTCTTGCTCGCATGCTGTGCTGTTGCTATAAACGGACTTATGTATAGGGAAATAAATAGATGTATATGCATCTGGCTCATGTGTTGTCTTACTTGCTCATGTGTATGTTGCAAAGCTTACTCCACTGTATCTTGCTTTTGTCAATCTTGCTCATGTGCCTCTCGCCAGTGTATCTTGGTGAAGCCGTCCAGGTCCACCCCTAGGAGACTGCACGCGCTCAGCTGAATCCTCAATTGGCTCACGGAATTCGCAAGTGGTTTGGGCTGCCGTTGAATCTCTCATTAACTTCATTGCCTTGCGCCAGCCAGCACTCGACTCACCATAGCGCAGTGCTTTCTGCGGCTGCTTTCCGAAACGGCAGATCTGTGAAAGCGTTTTATTCCAATTCTCTTCCCTTTAAACAAACAACGGGCTGCAACAAATCCATACGACATTCACCCAGCCACAATTTATGACGAGCTGCATTCTAGTGTGGCGTGCACAGCCGGCACAGCCGACTGCCCCACAAGGCTGCTGTAAAGCCTTGGCTTGTCGCAGAATACAAGACTTCAAGCAACCTCCCCATCTGACAATTTTAGCTTCAGGTTCACATACAGCCAACCTCCAAATACAAATTGATGTGGAAAGAGGTCCCGTGACCCCTCAGAACCAGCACAGAAGGCATATGTGATCTTGAAAGTAAAACAAGCCGCACAGGTGAAAGTGAGCAAATCAGGCCCCTTGAAGCCAGAATTTGCACTTCAGGGGGGAAACTGAAGGCCTCACTTTTTAATGACTCTTAGAACCTTCGTAGAAGGGGTTCTGAGAACGGTGGGAACTTCCATGACGCCCAAGGCACACAGCCCATGCCGGTAGGAAAGGCCTGGAGGACACTAGAGGAAGGTTCCGCGACTCCTCACGCAAAAGGACCCGGTGGACACTCACTTCCGAACACTCATGCATCAAGCAGGAGGACCCCTCTTGAACCAACCTGAAAAGAGTAACTAACTACCTTCCAAATCTGGACCACCTCTGCTCAGCCACCTTCGGACCTTCTGTCATGCTCAGCAGTTTTGACCCAACATGCACTCAGGCAGCAACGCACGCAACGCGCAAAGCAAACAAGCGCTTCTGGCGGCTTCTGGCGCTTCCCACGCCACCATCCTTGATCATGTCGGTTGGGGAATAGCATCTTCTGCCTTTAAAGGGGGTGCCCTTCCAGTTTCGCAGTCTTTCCCACAAAGGCGTGACATTCCAAAAGTTTCCACCCTCCCCGGCATGGAGTGGCCTGGAAAATGCCACGGCAGCTGGCCCGCCGAAGCCTGCGGAGCGTTGCGCCAGGCATGGGGAGGGTGACTCGAAGCGGGGTGCCTGCACCATCCGAACGAAAGATGCTA